GCAGTAAAGCGTCTGGTCGCAGGAGGAATGCCAGGGCGATCCGAAGTGCCAGAGCAGGCTGGGTTAAGGTTCAGCTGTTTTTTCTTTCTCCCCCTGTTTCTGTCACCTGCGAGGCTGCGTTGAGAGCTGGGGTTTGATCAGTGCCTGTGGAAAGCATAGAGAGGTGTGTTCGGGATGTCGGCAGCGGACAGAGAGTTTTTTAAATGACTTTATACTTTGGATTATTTGGATACTGCCAAAGATACGAACAAACGGATGGTCATCGGAAATATGACCCACGTATTTAAGTCCCACACATAAGCACCTGATAGCACAGGTTGCCACGATTTCCTGGCAACTTGCATTGTGAGATTCAGTTTTCAGTTTTACGCAATTTTTTTTCGATCTAAGACCATTAAAGCTGAATCTTTTCTTTTCTTCAGTGTTCCTCCAGCACAATCTATTTTTAAGTGCTACCCGAAATGTATTTTGCTATTCTCTTGAGAAACAAGGCTAGTAAGAAACGCAATGTTTTTGTTACTGTGAAGTAATAGTGGATTTCTAGAAACTCCATGCATTGTAAAAGATTTAAAATTGTACGAGGGAGATCCCTCACTACACTTTTCTATAAAAGCTTGGTTGAGTTACAAGTTTCTGGGTAGAAGGCTTACCTCACGTGCTTACCAGAGATTTGCAGACGTAGTATACAATTTTGGCAACATCATGTGTACTAAGGATGATCCATCCTATCTTGTGTCTTTTGTGGCATGGTGCATGCATCGTGTCTAGAAAACTTCTGAGCAACCTAAGGTGGTAGAACAGGATATTCCGTGTAGCTATTTCTGTCCTCTAATGGGGATTCCTCTTCCATGAGGCATCTCTGAATTTGGGCGGATAAACAGGCTTCCCAGTTCAGCTCTTCTTCCATCTTTTTTTTTTTTTTCTCTCTAAATTAAAGTCTTTCTGGTGGTGTGAAGGTTGGTGAATATTGGTTTATGAAACAAAACCCAGATGATAAGATGAGCTCACCCACAAAAAAATACATAAGAAAATTTATCTTTTTCTAATTAATGTAAGAGCGAATGTATGCTATGAGTTAGACATGTGTCTTTACATTTCTTAAGATAGAACAAAATATTGACTCATTCCTAGTTCAGAAGGTACTGTACCTTTTGTGCCTTTAATTTGGTTTTAGCAACTTTAAAGGCTGTGTACTGTTAATGTCATTGTACAGCAGTTCAGTTGCACAGAAGATCTTAATTCAGGCATTTTTAAACTTTGGAGTGCCTGATTTTGCTGGAAATTGGTGTGAGTGCCAAATGTGCCTGTATGCAAGCGTTTGGTCATCCCTTGCGATACTGTAGTAGTAGGTTCTAGGAAGAAAAATTGCAACTTTTTACATAAATGTCCAGATGAGTTGGATTGTAAGAACAGCCGTACCAGCACTGATCAAAGCTCTGCCTAGCCTAATACCCCATCTTCCATCCTGGCCAACAGTGGATGGTATAGTGGATAGGAATAAGTGGACTGGCACATAATTGTGTTTCCCCAAAATACACTCTCAGCTTCCAGCAATTTGTGGCTTGAGAGTTTTCCAGCAAAACGTATTTGAAAAATTAAGTAGGACAGCCCTTACTTTTCCACAGGTACTACTAATGTTTTCTGTTGGATAGGCCAACTCATACATTGTGATTAAACTCACAGTAGTTATTCCCAAACTGTGTTTAACTTTCAAGTTTGCTTATTTGTTGAAGACCTGAAGGGCTTATGTGTCTGAAGCATGATCTGTTCTATCCGACTATACTCGGATCTGCTGAAAGATAATTGTCTTCGTGGAAACTTAAGGGCTACGTTTTTCTATAGGCATTCCTGAACTGAGGAGGACCGTTTTGGGCATCCTTTGAGATAGATATGCTAATTTGTATCTATCCTGTATTGTATAATCAGGCACATATTTTATCCTTTCTTTAAAACGTTACGTGTTCAGTTCTGCTACAAGCAAGAAAGAAGGAACATTTTCTTTTGTGGTTCTTTGTTGTAGAATCCCTTCATTCAGATTGGTCTAATTCTATCTTTTAATGTTTAGAATATTTGAAGATTAAAGCGGGGCTTTAAAAGTTCAATCAAAGCAGAACGTATTTGCTAAGGAGTGGAATTTTGGAAAAGTAAATTTTTCAGTATGTTTCCTGTTAGGGTAACTACTGAGTCTTGGGGTGTGTACAGGGCACAAGTTGCAGCTAGTAAATCTATTTGAAATGAAAATTACAGTAAGTGTGTGTGGGGGGGAACTTTTTATGTTATTAGTTTTTGTACAATGCCATTTTTTTTAATAATCTTATACACTGTTAGAACAGCTGCACAGACTTTACCTGTTTTGAAACAGGAGGGTGTGTGGAGAGTTACTTTTACATAGCAATGCATTTTATTAACAAAGTGTTGTGGAATTCCATTTAATTATCAAACTGGGTTGTTCAGCCCATTTGAGAGTTAGTTTTCCAGCATCCTGAGCCAAGAACTTTTATTTTCTTGTTGGTACTAAAGATCAAGCAGCAATTGTTCATATTGCCTCATTTCTAGTCTTGAATAGTTTGTAAATACAGTGTAATATCAATAATATTTTGTGTTCTTTCTGGCTTCAATTATTAAATAAATATTTCACAAGATATTTCTTTCAAAATAACTTCACTTTCCTTGTCTGACATCCAAATCTTTACTGGATCATTTCAACACTGTATGCAACTGGTTATGTTAATGCATTGATACCTATTGAGCAGAAGTAATGAGTGAAATGGCAAAATTTTCCATCTGATTTGTTGCAGGGTATTTACAACAGGAAAAACTTCTAGCTACCTGCCGTGAATTTATTTTGGAAAGCTCGGATTTGAAAGAATATGCAGAGCACTGTACAGAGGATGGGTTTATTCCAGCCTGCTTGCTGGTGAGTTTGTATTTGCAAAGCAGAAAGTTAAATTGTCTTGCGTCCATGGAAAAGACAAGTGAGATTTCTCGGTGTGACAATTGCTTCTCAAATGATGCTTAAAATGTTCAGTTAGATTGTCTCCTCTGGTTTTTGGGTTTGTTTTGGGTTGTTTTTTGCATCCTCTGGTATTAGCAGTTATTTGGTTTCTAGTATTTAATCTTAATAAGAAACATTTAAGTGTAAAATATGCAAATTGGTTTCAGCGTATTATGTTTTGTCTGCTTCATAGCTTTGAGGTTGATTCATGGAAGTGTGTCGCAAGGGTTTTGTTGGTTTCAGGGCTGCCCTTGAGATTTATTGGAGATCACCTGCCTCTCCTAGACAGGACAGCTGGTAATGTTCCATTTTGAGTACATACTAAATATTTAGGTAAGGTACCTCAGCTTTATCTGAGGCTACCAAATTTTGTTGAGAAAAACTGTCTTTCATTTCCACTTCCTCTTTGATCAGTATCATCTGCTTTGTCCCAGGTGAAATGTGGAACTTTGGGTGTGCATAAATACAATGTGTAGCTACGTATGTAGATATGTGCATATAGCTACAGAGTAATTAGATACTTTGCATTTTTAACATATACAAAATGGGATTTTTAATGTAGTATGCAAATTACAGGATATAGATATTGCTGTGTATCAACCTTATAATGTTTATATGTGCATCTTTTTCCTGTTTTCCATTTCATTCTTCTAATATGTTAGTTAATTATATGGTCTGATCTGGGATTTTGTCCACAGTATTAAAAATTTGTGGAAATCTTTTCTGAGATGTGAAGTCTTGATGCACCCATTCAAGACAGACCATTGAATTGACGTAATTTACAAGTGTTTAGTCATCTTTTCTTTGAGGGTGGGGGATTAGGAACCAAAAATTAGAAAAACCAAATGCAAATAGATTATCAAGATACTTAAAGGTTTTAATTATCTTCCTTTTCTCAGTAGAAACATTTTTGCTGTTTTTCATAGAAAAGTGATGATATGATAGTGTCTAAGAAAAAATTCTCACTGCAGCTCAAAATAATTGCAATAAAGAGCTGTATTTGTCATACCCTGTGGAGTTCCCACTAGCAAACGAGACAGGAAGGTACAACACATGATAGTGGTCACCTCAAAATCTTAATTTTCTTTATTTCACTTAAAATAACAGAACAAGTAAATATGAGATGAAAGTTAGTTGTGTGACTGTTAAGAATTTTACTTCAGACAGAAGTTCTCTTCACGTTTGTATCTTAACACATGTTCTATTCCAGGATGATACATACTCATTACTCTTACAGCTGTTCATCATCTTCTTTTTGTAACTTTATTCCATAATAATACAAATAAGTGGAGGTGATGCAGGTCTAACTGCTGTATCAGTGTTGTGCAATGAGATCAAGCGCTTCAGATTTTGTGTTCATAATGGCGTTTTGTTCCATATATTTCTCTGTTGTTTGAGACAACTCGGCACCAGCAACATAAAGGGCATTTCCTTGTGTTGAGGGTCAGCATGGTGTAGTCTTCTAAATAACTGCTTAAATACAGTGTCATGTGAAGATTCTAAGATGAGTATTTTTCTTCCAGTCCCTGTGTGGAAAAAACTTGACAACTATTCTTAATGAGTACGTAGCCATGAAAACAAAAGGTAAGCCTTCAGAATGAGATTTTATTTTGTATTTCTCATTTATCTGTTGTGAATTCTGTGAGGGAGAGGTAACATCTCTACTTACATATGGACTTAGAGCAGTCTGCCATCTATGCTAGAAGTTGGAGGTTTCCATATTATGCAGACAACGGCCAATTACATCAGCATCTTGTCAGCAAAATTAACTGATTGTCTTAGTTTGTATTTGCCAGCGTATATTTTCACTTTGAGCAGAACTTCTAATGTAAAGAACTTCTAATGTAACAAAGCACAAAGAACTAATAAAATGCAAAATGTATGGGTTTATGCTTTAGAAATTACACTGTGTATTGTTTATGCTATAAATAGGAGGGGGAGGTGCTGATCTCCTCTCTCTAGGTAGGACACGCAGAAATGGAATGAAGCTGCATCAGGGGAAGTTCGGGTTGGACATTAGGAAAAGATTCTTCACCGAGAGGGTGATCGGTCGCTGGAACAGGCTCCTCAGGGAAGTGGTCATGGCACCAAGCCCGTCAGAGTTCAAGGAGCATCTGGACAACGCACTTAGTCATATGGTTTAGTTTTAGGTAGTCTTGCGAGTAGCAGAAAGTTGGACTTGATTATCCTTATGGATCCTTTCCAACTTGAGTTATTCTATGAAATAGCCAGGAAGAGTCCTGTGGTGCAAAATGTTTCTCGTCTTGTTTTTGAAACTAAATAAAATAATTTCAGAATAGCTTAATATTTTGTATGAATATTAGAGACAGAGTTAGAGCGTTTCCTGTTTTTAGGAGCAGTTACTGAGCTTCTGAATGTTACCAAGTCTTAGAATTTTTTGATACATGTTGTACGATCAGATTTTAGCAGTGCTTCGTTCTAAGACTTGAATTTAAGACTTACCATGTTTGGAACATTTCTGAATGTTCTTTTTTCCTTTCATACTAAGTTTAATAGAAATGGTAACTAAGACACAAACATACTTTCTTCAAAATACTTTGAACTTGACACCTTGAAAAACTCTATAAATTGATCTTTCCATTTATACTTGAATGTTCTGTGCTGCAAAAATACCAAGTGTTTTTACCTGTTTGGGTGACATCTCAAAATAAACCACTACTTTGAAAGACTTGTCTGCCGGGTTAAAATTTTCAAAAGCTCACAAGAGACTTGGGAATATGAATACCGTTTCCAGAAGTGGGTTGGGTTGGATTAGGTTAGGTTAGCATGTGTTTGCCCAGGAGTCAGCACCATGTGCAAATTCCATTGAGAATTGTCATCATGGGTGCCTTTGCCTCAGTTTCTCTTAGGCTTCTAAAACTGAGGACTGTATCCATGATGAGTGTGTGTTCATATCAATCCGAGTTCTTAAATTAGGAGTTAGGGCTTTCTATTTGCCTTCTTAATGTTCTGTTAAAGTTAGATGATGTCTGAAACACCCCATAATAATTATTTTGCTTGTAATTTTTACTTTTTCTCAACCTGTATCTGTTTTAAGCGTATAAAATGCATTTTTTTTTTTTTTATGGTTTATTTTAGAAACGACAAATGAAGTTCCAGCAATGATGTCATCTCTGTGGAAAAAATTAGACTATACACTTTCTCAGATCAGGTAATATAGTTTTGAAATCAAGAAAGTAAAATTTTACCCTAAGAGTGAGTCTCGATGTTGATCAACTCCCCTTGCTGTGGTATGAGAAGAGCTTTACTTTCTGTTGCCTCTGAGAGATGGTGAAGGAGATAGGCTTGTGAGAGTTGATAGCTGAGTAGACATTTCAAGGTGTTAAGGCACGGCTAGCAGATGAGGGCATCAGCGTGAGTACGTAGCCTTCCCGTAATAAAACAATACAGTATGACTCATTTAGAATCCGATACTGTTGTTGTTACTTGATCTATCAAAAATAGAACAGTAAGCTTAATTTGAAGAATCTGTGACTGTTATTTAAAAGAATAAAAATAACGATCAGTAGATTGAAACTTTCTGAAGTAACGTGTGGTTGGGACCAGACTGACATTAACCATATGACAGGTAGCATCGTGATGTGTAGTTGAATGTTTCCATTGTCTTTCTGTTTTTTTTTTATGTCACCTGCTTTCTTTTATAGGAGCATGCAGAATTCCACAGGATTTTCTGCTAATCAAAGGAGTAAGTAGCTGAGCCAGTTGCGCGGGATCAATAAGCTTTATGTACAAATTACCTGTTTTGGCAAAAAATGGGGGAATGCTGCAGCAATCAGTAACACATCCTTGCTCCTAAAATTTTGTCAAATCTCTTCTGCAGTGTTTTTTTCAGCATGTCTGTTATCTTCAGTGCAGTCTGGGTTACTGTATAGATCAAGAAAGGAAAAGAAGAGAAGCTGAGCTTTTTGCAAGGGGCTTAAATTTTCTATATAGTGTTTTCTTCTCCGCTGAAAACTTTTTAGAAGTTTACACAGTTAAAGATTTGAAAACTGCTGCCTCAGTCCTGAAGCTGTTGACTTAATAGGTGGTTCATAGAGGAGCTGAAAACATAAGTAGTTCATTGCTGTAGAAGGGGAATATAAAAATTGAAAATTGTTTTATGTATGCAAGCATATATCCGAACAAAATATGAAAAGATACTTGTTCTATCTAGAATTGTTTCTTTCATTACAAGAATTGCCAAATGAACTCTCAAAAAAGAAAAATTATTTTACTTAAAAATATTTTTTTTTCTCTGTAGTACTTCTAGTGAGTGACCTGTGTGAGAACAGAGAATGTGAAATATAGGTAGTGATTGTTCTTGGATCTGAGATTCAGTGGATCAGGTGGTGGTGTTCTGTTGTTCAAATTTGTCAGATTTAGTCTGATAAGTAAAGGCAAACTTGTGTTGGTTTAGCTATTTCAGTTAAGGTCAATTATATGAGTGATATGTTATGTGATGAAATGTGCTTTTGGTATGATTTATTCCTGCAAATATTTAAGCAGTGGTGCAAGCATGGTTACAATGTCTCTGTAAGTTTACGCTACTTCTTGAATTATTTTGGCTCAAACCTGTAATGCAGAAGACAGAGATGGGTGTTGCCTACTTCTTGAGTTTCTTGAATTAGTTGTTGAAGCACAGAAAAGTTTCAACAGAACATCCTTGAAAAATGAGCAACCTTTTAAAATTATTTTATCATGTATTTTCATCTTGTCTTTATAATCTCCAGCACGTACAAGAAGTGGAATTGTAGAAATGAAAAGACAGAGGATGCTTCAGCAATCAGCTTCTACAAACTCAGGATTGTTGGCTGTAGCCCATCAGTCAGGGCCACAGAATTCCTCTTCTGTTGTACCTCCTCAAGTTGTTCACAGGCCAACAATAAATCAAAGCGTGTCACAGACAAGACTGAATACCTTGTTTGTGCACCAGCCACAGACCCAAGAAAACAAGATCAATAGTAAGTTGCACACTTTTTAAAACCTTTTTTTCTGTGAAAAATCTACAGATGTAGATGGAAGTTTTCTAGAATCAGGAGTAATCATCTTCCACCAAAAAAATGTCAGAAAACTCGTGCTTTGATCCGCTAGGTCTCCAAACTGGCTCAGGTGATTAAAATAAAAGGAGAGCCCGAAAGGGAGATGGCTCTTGCGTACTTGCTTGCTGGTGCGGGTTCAGAGATCAAGAGTGCGTTAGTTTGTCGTTATTCTGTGCTGTGTTCTCACGCTGACCCAAAACACTTGTTTTAGCAGATAGGGATGATCCACATCACATAACTGTTTTTCTCAGGATGTATTTAAAAGGGATGGTTCACATTTTCATGATAATACCAAATTATTCATTTTAATTCCCAGGAACTGATTGTAACAAAATAAGTAGTGTGAGGATTTCTGTCATGCTTCAAGAACGTCACTGGAAAAGGTACTGAAATCATGATCTTTGTTTTTTCCCTTACAAAGCAGGAGATTTCATACACATTCAAGTTCCAGCATCACAAGAACGAAAGCTTCATTCAAATTTACTTTCTCCAGGAAGACGAAAAAGGTAAACACAGGGGTGTTTTGTTTTATTTTTAAGATCGTTTAGAGATTATGCAGTGTTCTAACCTTTAGTGTAAATTTTCTCAGACGGTGGAGCGTTTCACATTTAAGATTTACTGGGAGTGGCCAGTGTGTGGTGTTTCACAAGGAAAGGAAAGTCAAAGAGCTTAACGTTAGACTGATAGGAGGCTGCTTGTGCTGCCTCGTTGCATATTTACTTATTCCAGTATTAGACATAGGCAAATAATCTTGGAGCCTGAGATTTAGTTTTCCTTCCAAAGTATCCTTATCAATTATGAAAATTCTCAGTATTGATATAAATGTACATTTATCTGTTTATAACTTAGAAAAAATACCGGCTTCAGTAAACTTTGTCAGCAAAAATTTTCATATGCGCACTAAAAGTGATGTGAAAACAGGTTCTTACACTAGTTTTACATTTTTGTTCTTTGATTCCAGTGTCCTTTTGTTTTTAATGAGTTGTGTTCCGTTTGTTGTCTTTATCCCTGACTAAATCTCAATCAATGGTTTTGCTTATGATTTTTCCAGATCTTTACTCTTTTATACCTTTTCCAAGTACTCTCCATTGTACATGATTTTTTTTGTATATAAGTGATTTTAGTGCCACTGCTGATAGATGATTTCAGAAGAGCCTACACCATGATCTCGTATAAAAATATTACATCTCCTATTCATTATCTAAATTCTTGTGCAATCTAACATTTGTTGGCTTCTTTGACAACAGCTGCTCCTTGAGAGATCTTTGTTTTCAGTTGTGATGCACAAATCTTTTTCTTGAGTGGCAGTTGTATTAGAACCTGTACCGCCAGTTAAAGTAACATCTACTGGAGGGGGAAAAATACTGAATAGTGGGCATGGAATTCAGTTTACCATTGTGCTGTTTACCCACAGTCTGTATATTTGTTTGTAACTTCTGTGAAGTCAGACACAATATGTGCATACTCCATAATGAAACAGCTATCAGCTTTTATTGTATTTCCAGTATATAGTTAATTTTCTGTTGATTAACATCTTTCCTTTACTAAGAAGGAAGAGAAACACTTGATTTACTGACCATTAGGTCTATTGTTTGCTGTGTTCTCACAAAGTACATTCTAAACTTCCGGGAATGTTTCAGTGAATCTCAGAAGAGGAGAAGTATTGCAACATCTGGACCTCTTTCAGCAACTAGAAGTTCTCAAGACCCTGGTGAAGTAATAACAGAAAAAGAAAGTGAGCCCCTTGAAGAGTTCATAGATGGTAACTTCCCAGTGAGTATATACTTATGGAAGGTATTTACATTAAAAAAATTCAGACTAAGGATTAGTAGTCTTTTACATGTTGTTTGTCTTAGCTGGCACCTGGGTCAGGCCAATCCTAGGCACAAATACAAACTGGGCACAGAGTGGGTTGAGAGTAGCCCTGAAGAGAAGGATTTGGGGGTGTTTATAGATGAGAAGCTCAACATGAGCCGGCAGTGCGCTCATGCGGCCCAGAAGGCCAACCGCATCCTGGGGAGTATCAAGAGAAGCGTGGTCAGCAGGTCAAGAGAGGTGATTCTCCCCCTCTACTCTGCTCTTGTGAGACCCCACCTCGAATACTGTGTCCAGTTCTGGTGTCCCCACCATAAGAGAGACATAGATTTGTTGGAGCATGTTCAGAGGAGGGCCACAAAGATGATCCAGGGGCTGGAGCACCTCTGCTACGAGGACAGGTTGCGGGAGCTGGGATTGTTCAGCCTTGAAAAGAGAAGACTTTGGGGGGACCTAATAGCTGCCTTCCAATACCTGAACGGAACTTACAGGAAGGCTGGGGAGGGACTTTTTACAAAAATGTCCACTGATAGGACAAGGGGAAATGGGTTTAAGTTGAAGGAGAACAGATTTAGATTAGATCTTAGGAAGAAATTCTTCAGTATGAGGGTGGTAAGACTTTGGAATAGATTGCCCAGAGAAGTTGTGGATGCCCCCTCCCTGGAGGTGTTCAAGGCCAGGTTGGACGGAGCCTTGAGTAGCCTGATCTAGTTGAGAGGCGTCCCTGCCCATGACAAGGAGGTTGGATTAGATGATCTCTGAGGTCCCTTCCAGCCTATGCCATTCTATGATTCTGTGATTATAGAAATGAACTTTAAAAGATAAATGTATTGTTTTGTATTTGAACTAGCTCTTCTGTGCACTGAACTAGTGAGGATGGCACGGCTATGTAGAGGTTTTTTCCCTTGATTCATTGGCTTTACTAAGATACCTGTAAGCTGTCAGAAGACAACAATTTTTAAGAGAATGGAAACCAGAAAGCACAATACATCTTGCTGTACTTCTCCAGAAGTGTTTTAAAAAGTTTCTGTGTTGAATTGATTATTTGTTACCAATAAGTTGGAAATTCATGCTCCTTTTCTAGTCTAGATAAAAAAAGAAACCTGACTGCTTTAAAACTGTCCTTTCCAGCAACTGGTTATTGAAAATGCCAGAGAAAAAATCTTGAGCGACAAGTCTCTTCAGGAGAAGCTTGCTGAGAACATTAACAAAATCCTGAGCAGGTAGTAAAAGGAACCTCTAAACTTCATACATATTTTATTTATTTTTGATTTCTGAACTAATGACTAATGTGTTCCAGTGATGGCAATGTCACTCAGGCCCCTAAACAGGCAGACAGTGGTCCCATGGAACAGGAGACTTCAATTGATGAAATCCTTGGACTTCAGGTAGGTGTGGATTGCCCTGTTTACGTTTTTTTGAAGACCAGGCACGTGAGAATGATCAGTTAGTATCAGGAACTATGCTGAACCTCTGTCTACTGTCTGATACCTGAGATTGCTCTCTTCTTTCTCTTCTTTCTTTTTATTTGTTTATTTGTTTTACAATACAGCTGAGCCTTTCGATGGCTAGCTTCTGCCCAGGGCCAGTTCCACAACTTCCCTTGCATAGGCATTAACTCTTGTGTTGTATGGTGGTGGATGGGTTCGAGGAGCTGAACTAATAGGATACTAGTATTTGGCTGGAGTTACTTCTGAGCCAATTTAGTGCTCTGAATGCATTCCCAGTGCCTGTACAAGGCAGCAGAAGCATGCAGCAGGGTCAAAAGCCAAGGGAGCAGGTCCACTGTTATTGGTGCCCACAGAGTGAGGTCTAAGTACACTGTCCCAGACTCACCAGCTGCCTGCTTGTCACTGTATATTTGGTACCAGTAACTGGGTACCAGCTTCTGACTGGGGATCCAGTTAGCCTTATAAATCAAAAAAGAATTTAAAATACCTCGCAGTCTCCAAACACGTTTAGTCTGATCTGATTTTCTGATTTGCTGTAAGATAAACATGGGTTATCTGGTATAGCAAGAAGAGTTGTCTTTGGAGTCTAAATGAGGATGCTTTTCCTTCAAATTTAATGTTTTCTTGCTTTTGGAGGAAATGTACGTTCTACAAACTAAACGTCTAGTGTTCTCCCGTCATTCTCCTACAACGCTCAAGCTGGCAGTCAGAGTTACAAAGGGCTTTTAAGGAGGGAAATTATAATCTTCTTGGCCCTCGTAAAAAGGGCCAGAGAGTAGAGGCAGGTTGCCTGTTTACTAAGTAGAGGTGTCTGTTTTTTTAAAAGCTATTGCTCTGTCATTTGGTGATTTTAAGTCATTTTTTGTCAAAATATGGAGCTGAAAAAATGTATTCCATTTTTCTGAGCAGAACAAAATCACAGCAGCTTCTTGATTTAGTTAGAGTAGCTGAGACAAAATAATCAAGCATATCACATGAGATGTCATGATTACAATAGTCAAGTATAAAAATCAGTAACCCAACGGGCATGTAAAGTGAGAAATCTTGAAACGGTAATTTATAAAAGAACCTAGTCCTGATTGTAATATATGTAACCCAAGCTCTGTATGTGTAAAAAAATTCTGTAAAAAGTAGCTGAAGATTAAGTTCAGTCTAGAATAGTTTGGCTTTCTGCTGATATTTTGCATAGTCCTTAACATCAGAAATACATTGTTATTTGGCTCGTTTCCCCCCTTATCCATGGAAAGTTTTAGATTCCTAACGCTCTTGAAGGCAGAGGAGGAGATAAGCAGGTCTGCTTCTCACCATTCAGGTGCAGAAGCATATCCAAGTGTTCGAAGCAGCAGCATGTAGTATTTTCTGTATCTTTTTCATCCACCCTTATAACCACCACATCAAAGGCTGTAGAGCGCTTGGAGGATCTCCTGGAGATCAGGAGAAACTCTGTACTGAGTGCCCCACTCGTTTTCTTCCTGGGCTTCTACCAAACAAGTCAGCTTGAAACAAGAACCTTAGAGCAGTGTAGCCATGCCTTCCAACTGCCTTCTGCAGAAGGGTAGTTGTAAGTTAATTTTGTAGAATATGTAATTGGTAAATGAAATTAAACCTCCCTTTGCTTAGTGTGGTCTTCTAGATGTATGCAAAAACAAGAATTCCCGGTTAATTTCAGATTATTTTTTTTTCTTTACCAGTGGTTGGCTAGTGCAAGCTCGCAGCATTCACACCATCTGCATAAGCTTCCAACATAGCCTGAGATTTAGTCTTTCTTAACAATTATTGATCACTATGTGGAGAATATTCCAGTATGCCTGTGCAGGGTGTAATGTCTGACACAGATGTTTGGGTTTTGAGGGGCTTTATTTCTTAACCTTCAATCACCAGTATTTTTTTACAGACATTGAATTTGTGGCAGCAATGTGTCCAGCATTTGTCTTTATGTTTCTGTGCTGAGCAGTAGTAATAGAACTAAAAACAATCTGAAAAGAAAACAATTCTTGTTTGTTTTTCTTTCAGTTACGGAAGTAACTGTCTAAAAATTCTGTATGTCTTGTCTTTTCTCAGGGTGAAATTCATATGTCAGAAGAAGCTATACAGGACATTCTAGAACAGACAGAATCGGATCCAGCTTTTCAGGCACTCTTTGACTTGTTTGATTATGGTAGGGTACATTATTCCCAATTGTACCATTACCGTAAAGCATCATGAATGATGAGTTTTCCAAGTATTGCTTGAAGGAGCAACGCTAATTCAGCAGGCTTCTTGCGTGAGAAGTGGACCGTATGGCATCTGTGTCCCTCAATTCAGGTTTAGATTGTTAGGTACATTTATACATGACTATAAAGTACAGCATTTTCTTGGGGCTGAAGTTCTGGTTTTGAGCTGGCTCAGTGATTGTTTTGTTGCTGTTATTCTAGACTCTTCTGGTCTAAAGGATGATAGTTCATATTTGTTTTTCTGTTCTGTTGTAATATTTTTCTGTTTGTTTGATCAGAGATATCCTAACATGAAATATAAGGACATTCCTGTGCTATTTCTAGAATTGTAATGAATATAGAAAAATAGTTCTTCGAGTTTAGCGTGGCATTTCTTGAATTTGAAATCTCCATGCTTCATTTAAAATGTAATAATCACATTTGTGTGTAAAATGACATGCTTAATCATTCTTCATGCTTTATTTTGAAAATAGGAAAGAGCAAAGTAAACAAGAACTTACCTTCTGGTATTTCTGGTCAGAGTGGAGCAGAAAACACAATCCTAGTGGATGAGGATAACCTGGAAACACTTGAAAGTTCTTTAGGAACAGAAGAAACTAGTAGATGTAGGTTGTGGGTTTTTTTTTCTCTGTCTCTTAGTCTGTTCACTTTTCATTTTGAAAGTATTTTCAGACAACTTGTACATGTCAAAACATTTCTGTTTATAGTGATAGTATCTAATGTGACGTTTACATTGCATGAATATGTGGATACGCCTAGTCTGTTAGGAAGCTTCAGTCGATTAAATTTAACAGTAGTCCATCAGTGTACTTACACATTGTATTTGGTAAGCTCCTAATGAAATCACAATGTCTGCAAAACTCTTTTCTCATTCAAAACAGAGATACTTTGCAACCTTCACTGTGGAACATGTAAATATAAAGACAATATTTTACATCTAACCATACTAATCTTTTCTCTCTATTCGGTAATGTATTGATTAATGAATACACAAAGAGAGTCTTACTCTGGACAGAAGGTATGTTTAGTCTGTCTACACCTTTCTTAATGATAGTCAGTAGCAGATATTTAGTGAAGGTGTATGAGAAATAGAGCCAAGAGTTCTTTATCCTGAGATGTTTTTTGTGCTTCTGGAAAACTGATTTAGTGAGTCAAGCCATTTGTTTCTTATGGTTTTACTTATTATTTACGTACAAACTGATTTGGCAGATTGCCTAATCTATGTAATCTAACCATATGTTTCGTATACTTTCCGCTCAACTTGAAAGTAAGGATGAGTAGCATTATTCCTGCTTAGTTTCCTGTGAAACAGTTTTCCACTGAACTAATAAACTGCTTATAAATGCTGTGAAAGGATCATCTGTTCTAATAATTATAAATGAATTTACTCTGTTCAACAGGTGATAATTCTAGAGAATCGCTATCCTGTAAAAGTTTTCAGTTAGGAGAAGCATCGTGTGGCTTGAAGACCAGCATTAATGATGATGATATGGCTAAGAAAAATACAAACAACGAGCAGTTGCATGGAAATTGTAGACCAGGGAAGCAGACTGAAGTGCTGAAAACCGTTACCCCTGACCATATTGGAGAGCTTGAAATTGCTTTTGACTCTGTGCCTAGTTTGACTGAACCTAACAAGAGACAAAGTTCTTCTGATAGTGAATGTAATGAACACTGTAGAGATTCTTATGATAAAAGAGAGTCATCTGCATTAGTATCTGAAAGTGAAAGAGCTATGGAAATGGAAAAAGGCCCACTAAGTCATAGTGCTCAAAGTAGTCCTAATTTAGAATATGTTCATTCTCATAGTCCGCAGATTTCTTTGATTTCCTTGGCAGAAGGTGCTGCAGCCAGTGAAAACAAAACATATTCTGGAAGTAAATGTCACTTGTCACCAGATACATCACTATCTGAAAGAACACTTACTAAAAGCCCTTCTGCCGGGAGCCCTGGCCACAGCGTACTGCTGGGAAAAAACAGTTCATCAGTTTCTAGCCCATCTGCAGATGCAGGAAAAGAACAGACTGTAACAAACAGTACTGCTGCCTTACCTGGTGTTTTCCAGGAGAACCCTGGCCACCACCCTAACCGTCAGGAACAGAGTACACAGTCAGATTGTGCTGCAAGATCTGCAGTGAAGATTTCGGATCTTGACAAAACAGAGCTGCAGCTTGGAGTTGTTGATACTTCTAACAAACCTTATTTGGATAATCGGCATACACTTGATAAGCCTTGTAAGAAAGATTTTAACCTCCCTTCACAACAGTCAAGCTTGGAGGGATCACAAGGGGAAATGCAAGAACCTTCATCTTCTACAAAAGCAGATGCTGACAATACATATTTCTCTTCCGGTGATGATGCATGTACAGAAATTTCTGTAGTACCCACTGAAAGTAATCTTACTACGTCCAAAATCTGCCAGTCTCCTCTCCCAGAAACTGCATCCTCAACAGATGAATCAGGTACTGTGGCCAAAAGTGCAAGCGGTGTATCTTCTAGTAGTCAACCAATGGATGTTGATCCTTCTAATATAATGTCCCTCAAGATCATCATCAGTGATGATCCATTTATTTCATCAGACACAGAGTTAAATAACGCCGTTTCCAGTATCACAGGAGAAAATTTGCCGACTATAATATTGTCTTCTCCAGCCAAATCCCCAACCAGAACTGCAGGCCTGTCCAAATGTCTGACTTCAGAAGACACAGAAAAAAATGTGGATTCAGCTTTGGCAGAACAGAATCTCCTTGTACTTAGACCTAAGGATCCTGTGGTCACCTCAGTTAACACTCCGAATGAAGACTGCACTGTTTTTTCAGTTGCAGGTACAACTAATCTTTCCAAGGAAGGGGGATTTATACAGTTGATGCCAGCAACAAGCACAGCTTTTGGGAATTCAAACAACCTTTATATAGCCACCTGTGTGACTGATCCAGCTACCTTGGGCACAGCTGTAACACCATCAAACGTAGTTGTATTGCCGGGCAATTCTGTGCCGCTTGCTGCCCAGGCTCCCCCTGTACAACAGTTACGGACTCCTCCTAGATCCAGCAATGCGTTTGCAGCAAACCAGACCGTCTCCTCCAATTTCTCACAAGGTAATCTCACTATTAGAGCATGACTGGAAATGTGCTGTTTATATAGCTCTTTTAATTCGTTTTTTTTTTTTGGTAAGTGCATTAAAAGAAAACTGAGTTTTTAAACACTGCTCTATCTGCCCCTTGAAACTAGCCACGAGTTACGTATTTTTTGAGTATGTTAGTCGTTACTAAATAACGTAACTAAACTGAAATAAAAATTACAAAGAGTCATTGACCAGGCTGCTTTGAAAAAAATAGCCTCATATTTCAGAAGCTTACATTCTGTAAGTTTAGCAGTGATAAATTCAGGAAGCACATTTTGGCTTACACTAGAAGAGGTTCCGTTGTTTCAACTAAATAAAGCAGTTTGTTTGTTTTGTTGGTTTTAATAAGATTCCTGTTATAAATAGAATGCCATGTGTTTATGAGTACCCATATTTAGTTCAGATAACTGGCTAAATGTACACACTCCTTCCAAAATTACTTCCTTGTTTTGTTTTATTTTATTTTCCAGAGGCCTAGTCTACACTAGAAGTACATTTAGACAAGTATGAAAGTACAACATTATTTCTTTCCATAATAAGTGCTTTTTTTTACTACAGCAAGAAAAAAGTTAAGTATTTTTTAAATGTTAGATATAACCTGGTTATAATGAACACATTGAGATTTCTTTCCAAAACTAAAAGCTTGTCACAGTTGTCCCTGAATTTCTGTGTGTAGTCGTTTCATTGTGGTCAGAGTCAGTGCAGCAGTATGTGCAGTGTCTTTCCTGTCATTAGGATTTCTTTATGCAGCTGTTCAGGGCTTTTTTCATAGGGAGAGGAACAGAAGTTTGAGCATTCTTCTGCATTTGATATTTTCCTGGTGGTGCTTGTGTAACTCAAGAACTGTGTGGAATCAATTTTTCTTTAACTATTTGAATTTTTCTTTCACTTTTCAATCAACGTGCTGTAATAGTTTCCTTATGATTCCTGTATACCTGGCAGCCAGACACTCTTACAACCTGTTAGCATAACTAATTTAAAACAACTCTTTTAACTATGATTTAAATAGTTAAGTAGGAAACTTTGGCTCAAACAGTCCAAATTAGTCTGTCTTTTTTTTTTTTTAATAGCTGATCTCAAACCCACTAATTAACCGAAGTCTTCACATACCACATTTAACACCTCCTACTAACCAGGAATGTACATTAGATATCTACACACAGACAAAACTAGACTGTCCCAGCTTCTTGTGTGCTTATGAGGGGAAGGTGTTATGGGTGCACTGGAAGAAAAAAAATTACCCTGCTAACAACTTTTGAGCATGCTAATTGTAGAGAATAGGATGCAAGTGATAGTTTATTTTTACTAAGCAGCAAAATGAGCTATTTGATATTACTTTTTCTGGCTTTTATAAATTAAAGTTCAAGCCTTAACATAGGTATGTTACACATACTTCATTTTGAACCACTTCTTGAAAAGGAAAACAGATACCTAAAGAATCCAATTTAAACAAAAAATAACAGTCACTTACCCCGTTTTCTAGTAGTGACATATAGCAAGCACCATGAAGTTTTTAAAAAAAGCCAGAGTTTTTTTGCCACAGGTTTGACTGTGCATAATTTTAATAAATCCTGTCTTGAAGCTTTTCTTCTCGCTGAAATATTTTAGCTTCTGTACAATTTTAACACTTACTATTTATTTTTTAGGTTCTGCCATTATAATTGCATCTCCAGTGCAACCCGTTTTGCAAGGAATGGTGGGAATGATACCTCTCTCTGTAGTAGGACAAAATGGAAATACTTTCTCAGCACCTGCCCGCCAGGTAGCACAGCACATCACCAATAAACCGTTGTCTTTTCAAAATGAAAAGGAGGCCTTTGCTAAATTGTAATGGAATATTATGATTCTTTCAAGGTTCTACATATGCCTGTGGCTAATCCGGTGTGCAACAGAAGCGTCCCCAAACTTCCCATCTCTCCCAAATCACAAAAGATTCCTGGAGCAAGAAGCAAGACTAACACAGGTACCTGCATTGCATTCTTGAGAAGGACGGAAGAAAAGGGGGAGTCCGACAGACATGTCAGTTCTAAGTAATAAAGTTTTATAAATACCAGTGCACCTCTGCCACGTAACTGCTGGGGTGGCTTTGAGAGAGGCCTGTACCTCTAGTTAGTAACTATATTTGTTCAATTGACAAAGAACTACTCCCAATGTGTTAACATAATTTCAGATTTGGGGTCAAACTTATTTTTGAAATTTAATGTTGTAAGGCTCTAGCACAGTTCAAAAAAATTCATTTTTCTTTATGTTTCTGATTATTTTTCGTCTTGTTGGTTGTAAGTACAGTTTACTGCTGCCATCAGGATGAAGTGACACAGAAATACAGAAGTTATTGGAAGAGTCAGCAATTCTAAACATCTGTTAAGGAAAATATTTAACAGAAAAAGTGTTGCATGTTTTTACAAAAAATGCACTCTTATCTGTTTTTTCTTTCCTATTTCAGGTATACATTCTGTATATTTATTTAATTGAGACCTTGCTTCTTTGAATAATAAATGAAACAAGGCTGGAGTTACATCATTTCTCAGTGTTGGGAGGGAGTAAAGAAAAATAATTGAAAATACAAACTAAATTGAGTTATAAGGACAACTTGTGTAATTAGCCTATCTACCTTTTTTTAAAAGAAGTAGGCTGACACATAAAAATGAAAATAGAATGAAGCTGCAAATTAAGAAAAAAGCTAGGATGGTGTAGTTGGTCTGCATTCTGGTTTGCTGATGGATAACTGAGAGATCCCTGTGGTTTTTTCCCTTCTACTTGGAAATCCCTGCTGTGCGTTTCTAAGTCCAGCTTAATTGTTTTTTGTCCTGCTAGACCAATGTATTATCTAAGTGTAGATAGCAAGCAAGCTTCGTGTTTGTACTTAGTTGGTGACCTTTGCTAATCTATTAATCTGTAAATTTGAAAGTTACAAAAAATTCTCAGAGTTTTCATTGCTGGGTTTTTCTTTATTGATTCTCGTGTCTGGTGAAATGTCTCAGAATTGTAGTGTCATTTAGGTTGGAAAAGATCCTTAAGATCATCGAGTCCAACCGTTAACCTGACTCTGTCAAGTCCACCACTGAACCATGTCCCTCAGTGCCACGTCTACCGGTGTCATTGTACCAACTGTGAGACGATTTACTCAGAACACTGTGGTTTATTAATGCTTCATCTGTTGTTCCAGGAAAACTGGTACCAAGTGTAGCTGAGCCTTTGAGCCACACAAATTCTCGTACGCTAAGGTCAGTGGTGCTAGGTGTTCAAACTTGCTTTCTTTTTCCTGCCATGGATTTCTTTATACTGTATCGACTGAAAGGACAGCCTTTTCAGCAGTGGCATGAGCTGTACCTCCTTTTTTTCCCAGTTCCTGTCTGTCTACTAGGAGTATTGTTGCAGATGTGTGTTAGTACTGGTGCAGTGACATTTTAGTGACAAGTCTGTGCTAGAATTCTGCTGTTACTCTTCCTCTGTTAATTTTATATGGCTTTGTGTTTATTTTTGCTCATCTGAATCGTCAAAGAAAAGTTGTTTGAGGAGAGTCCAAGCTAGCAGAAAGTACCTGTGACATTTACTGGAAGTTTTTGATGATTAAACCCTTTTTTTATATATATTGATGAATATAATTTAATTGCTAATTGGGATAGGTACTAGTCTTCCTGTTGGGCAAGTAAGAGGGAAGAAAGCAAGGCTTCAGTAGTAACCCTCTTTATCATTAATGGACATAGGAAACAAAAGGATGTTGGAATGAGTGAAAG